GCAAATTGACTTACGAGCGAGGTAACGGAACGAATTAAATTCCTATCTCAAGGTACCACTGTACTTAAAAAAAAAAAAAAAAAAATTAGAACAAAAATATTTTGTTGGTTTTATATTTGGGTGACAAGGTAACTTTGACAAATTAATGTTAAACTCTTTCGATCACTTTAATTCACTTACTCGTTACACTCTTCGTAATGCTACACTTTATCCCTAAACTTAATGGAACTTAACTAAACTTCACTGAACTTGATTGAACTTAAATGCCACGGTACAATTCTTTTTGTTACTTTCCCTTAGTTTTCATCACTGCTTTTCTCTTCACGGGTCATTGCCTTTTTCGCCACGCTTTCCTCCCTTTCACCTCCAGGCCGTTTAAAAAAAAAACCTGTCCTGGTGTGTCGTGTGCAGCCGGCCGACCCGCTGACCCAGGTGCTCGAATCTCAAATGTTTCTCTTAGTTCAAAGCAAAACTTCGCTCGCTCGACGCCTCGTTTCTCAAAAATCTCGTATGTTAGGGAACTCGTATGTCGAGATACCACTGTATGTGAGAGAAAGTACTATTACAGAGTTAACTCATATAAGAAAACAGGGAGGTAATGAAATATGCTTAGAAAAACGATATTTATTTCGCAGTTCTTTACCTTGCAATTTCCGTTTAAGATAATGCGTTTACACATAGGTATGTTGTGTGCTTTCACGTTGCTTTGAATTTGCCAAAACCGTTAAAAAATCATCAGAGTAGTTGTGTGTTTAGACAGTTGATATTCCTGCATAACAAGAATTGGGAGTAACATTAAACTCATTGTATGTGGCCTGATGAATGATGCCATGCTTTCTGATGAATGATCTCATGCTTTAGAGCACTCTTGAAATACTAATTTTAGTAAAAAACCAACTGAATTAAGATACGTGTTTGGCTTGGTTTCCTTTGGATGTTACTTTTATATTTATGTTCAAGTTTATTTGCATTCAATTTTTGTCTTTTACTCCCCCTCTCCCATGTATCTCATCAATTTCCACGAGTCAAGAAGATACCAAGAGCAACCACCATAATATCTAGTTCAATTGTGCTCAATGTTTCGAGCTAAATGTATCATAAGTATTTAGTATGGGCTTGGAGCAGCAGTCCCGACATGCAAGGCATGTGCCAACCTGCAGTAACAAGACGTGCAAGGCCATGCAAGTGCCAACCTGCAGTGACAAGCCGTGCAAGATGATGCATGTGCCAACCTGCAGTGACAAGACGCGCAAGGCACGCACGTGACCACCAGCAGTAACAAGACGTGCAAGGCGATGCATGTGCAAACCAGCAGTAACAAAATTTGCAAGACGATGCAAGTGCCAACCTTCAGTAACTAGACGTACAAGGCGATGCACGTGACCACCTGCAGTGACAAAATCACCAAGGAGAAACACTTCAAGCTACCTGTCGCTGTAATAGGTTTAACGCTGGTTTTCCCTTTACCTAAATTCTGGGTACGGCAGAGAGGTTCGTTTCACTTTACACTACAAAAATAATGGTTAAATTACTTCCTTGTTATCATTTAGGTATTTTGTATCTGGAGATTAAAATACACAATGTGGTCTAGAATTTGTGACCATTGACGAAGTCGTTTTTTTATTAATAAAATTACTTTAAAATATATTGTAAAATAATTGCATGTTTCTAACATGTATCTGTAAACGGAAAATATCACATTAAGGATTACAATCACATTTAGAATTAACTATCGCATTTAGGATTACCTATCACATTTAGGATTACCTAGGCTTAGCTTAATGTTTGGAGTTGAAACTGAAATCAATGAGATTAGGTATCAGCAGAGGCGTTACCAGGACATAAATGGGGTGGAACCCAGGTCGACAATTAATCAATTAATTTTTATTACTTACATTATAATGGGTGTGTGTGTGGGGGGGGGGCAGCCTTTAGTATACCTTTGGACTTCCCGCAAAGGTCTGAACAAACAAACCACGTCATGAGTGTTTGATTTGACTTTTTGGAGATAGAGATAACCATCCATTCACTGATATATATCTTCACTTCTATTTTAACTTCCTCCAAAATGGCTTTATTCCTTTTACCCAAAACCGCTGAAGCGCTCAGTAATTGGGAATTCATAAGAATCTTAAGAACATTACTGACTATTAATTTTTAGCATATTACTTCTATCGTCTCATAAACGGTGACAGAGTTCGTAGTATGGGTGGGGGGGAGCAACATTTAGCACAAAAACCACGTGACTCAAATTTAAAGAGGTCTTAAAAATATACGTTGACATTCTCATAAAATACGCGCTTCTTTCTTATAAAATATTTGCATTGAATTAATTCTTAGTTACATCAAACTAGGTATTTGATACCGTCCAGGTTCAGATATTAACAACTCATACAACACTATCTAATAAGTCGCTCTGTACTATCTAAAATTGCAGGATAAATAAGTGTCTACCAACTTGAGCATGAAAAAAGAACAAAATCACAAACCGGAACGAGCCCGATCAAACCGACACGCATGGTAGGAGGAGGCTTACCCGGTCTTATTCTTCACGATTTTCCCCGTGTAACTGTTTTTATCGCCATAACTAGCTATGTTTCCTATCCTTTTATAAATAATTTGCATTATCTAGATTCAAGATATTTAATTGCCTGTCACATTACAGCGGCGCAGCTAGCGTTAGTGCCGACGGAGGGGGGGGGGTAGGGGGGCAAGATTTTTGCGGCCCCCCACCCTTCCATAAAGAAAGTCCTGCAGTCGACCGAGTATTTCGCCCCTCAAAATGAAGCCCGGGACTGACCCACCCCCTCACCGCCCTATTCCTACGCCACTGTATCCCAATAGTTCTGCCAAGTTTATCCCGCCTTTACGACAACAGGTGTAATGTAATTTCTAAAATAACAATTGATTAACTTTAACCTACTGACATACATTTTACTTAAGCAATGTATACGAAATCTTGATATTTTAATCAGAAGATAGGACACATCCTTAAAAAGAATTATATGATTGAACATTAAGTTTATTAATTGACATTTGAACGTGTCTCTTTGAAATTCAGATCTGTGTGGGCTGACAGAAATTATTTGCAACAGGAATTGAAACGGTTTTTTTGAAAATGAAAACCGGACTGCCGTGACAACAAATGTAGGTCGTAAGAACAGTGGCGTAGCTAGGGCTGGTCACCCTGTGTGGCCAACTCATGTTGTCACCCTCTTCTCCACCTGGGTTCCACGACGGATTTCTTCTTGATGAAATGAGTCCCCGGTATAACAATGACAGGAACAAAAAAAACAAATTAATTGACGGTCAGAGGTAAATGAATTTAAGAACTATAACATGTAAGTATTTCGACCAGTTGGTATCAATGGAAAGTTTTACTACTCAGAATATAGGAATTCAGCTTCTTGTCACAAACGAATGTTACCTAAAACTCCAATCGGAATTGAATCAAGGTCAAAACGGTGTTTTTCTTATTCAATTATAGGGTCACCTCATTTATGATGCATCAACCTTGAACTTTTAATAAAGCACTCATTTTGATTGGTTACATGTATGTGAAAATTTATATGGGATCGGTTATTCTTTAATGAAATTCGTTTAAACCGAGCAATGTGTGCTATGTATGCAATTTTTCAATTTGGTGCAACCCCTTGAGATGGCGTCACCCGGTACGGTCCGCACAAACTTCCCCCCCCCCCCCACCTTTTTGCGCCGCGTTCCTCTAGCTACGCCACTGCGGTAGGAATGCAATTTTTCCTGGAATAATTTGAAGAAAGATTTATATAAAGCTTACGTAAGTAAAAACAAGAAGGATAAATGTGCTACAGAGCTTTAACAAGAAGGATAAATGTGCTACAGAGCTTTAACAAGAAGGATAAATGTGCTACAGAGCTTTAACAAGAAGGATAAATGTGCTACAGAGCTTTAACAAGAAGGATAAATGTGCTACAGAGCTTTAACAAGAAGGATAAATGTGCTACAGAGCTTTAACATCTGTAATTAGAAATCTTTAAATCTACCCTTTTGAAGGGTTTTGGAATCAAACAAAAAGATTTGGAAATTCGTAAGAAAAATTTTAAGGATTTTAATTTAGCAAATATATTTTTTTCCAACGTGACATTGTAGCATCCTCAACACTTTAATGGGTACTGGAAAGTTGTGTGACAGAAACGTCTTCGACGGAAAAGATCGACAGAAGTTTGACCGAACGGATGTTTGGTCGAACAAAAGTTTAAGCGTATTTTTTTCAATTCACACGAACCAATTGTTCGTTAATTTTTTTTTTAACGCACTATACTATGTATTAAAACAAATAATACGTTCAAAAAGAAATTTAAAGCAAAATTAGATCGTGTAAACTGAAGAAAAAAAATAGATCCAACTGCCGTCGATCAATTTTCCGTCGACGAAATGTCTTTCAAATAAATTTCCTGAAACTCACCTTAATGTACAGACAGCTAAAATCTAGTTCATAAAAAGTACACCAAACAGTTAAATATTATTTTTTGTTTTAAAAAAATTATATATGAATGTGTCACATTACTTTTAATCCTAACTTATATGTTCAATGTGTTACATTACTTTATGCTTAAACTAAATTGATGTATGAAATCTGTTACAATACTTTTGAGTTGAAACAAAAATTATTTTCTAAAATAAAAATATAGATCTTGACGGTTAAAAAACGTAAAATAATATATTATATTTTTCATTGCCATATTCATTACATAATATTGAATATATATTTTGTAAACCAACAGTATGAGACTGGTGATATTACACATTTTGTGAAGGACTAAGCTTTTCAGCTTCTCACAATTATTCATTGCCCGGGGATGACGTCACTTGGTGCGGACTGCAGGGCTTTTATACAGCAACAGTTGAATGGTTTTCCCTGTTCTTTTAACATTGGGCGAGCAAACTATCAAATTGATGGCAGGGACGTGGATAGTAGACGACTTTGTGAAGTCACCTGTGCTAAAAACACTTGGGAGAGATATATCAGTTACGACATACCTAACAGCAATGATGATACATGGATACCTCTTGAATGGGCGCAGAATTACAGAATAAAAGCTTATGTGGAGGTGGGAAGGTTTGAAGAGGCAAGAAAACTAATCGATGAAATGTTGTACAAAACTGGTGGACAAAACATCACGACAATGGCTAATTCGGCTGTTTTATTTTTTGTAGAGGGCAAGGTGGAAAAGGTTGAGGAAGTTGTGAAACAGCTGATAGAACTTTCATCACTCATCTCATTCAAATATTTGAAGGCAGACGCCTTGTGTGAGCAGGCTTATTTCTATTTTGAATTTGGAACAGCCGAAAAAAATATAGCTGGTGTAGAGCTACTAAACTGTGCTTTAAAGTCCACTATTAGATATAAACATGAGGCTGATTTAATGTTAGGAATTCTACACAGACGATGTCTTCATTGGAACACGTATGATTTTGCCAAAGAAGAAATTGATTTTAGTTATCATGTTAAAAAGGCACTCGGTATTTTGGAAACTTTGCGGTATGAAAGAAATGTAAAAGATATTGTGAAGGCTCATGCTCTGGCTGAACTAGCAATGCTCCAGAGTGATGTTACTTATGTTAACAATGAATACGCTCAAACAATTTCTTTCAACGGTACAGTAGAAACACTGTGTGATGAAGCCTTGACACTAGCGCCTTCCTCAGCAAACGTTACTGCCAAAGCCGGTCAACTGATGAGATATGTCCCTGGTCGAACTGATCAGGCCAAACAGCTGTTGGAGACATCTCTGAACATTAAGCCAACTGGACGCGCTTATCACCACCTTGGATTAATCCTTCTCAAAGAAGCTAAGGAGTTTGAACATAATCATGGCACAGAAACAATACGGACATTGAGTTTACCCTTAGCAGATAACATCGAGCAAGAACTCAATATGGATGGGGTTCTTCAGAGACTCCTCTCACAAGCAAAAGAAATTCCTCCCTTTAGTTCAAATAATCCGTTTATCCAGGAAGCAACAGAAAATCTTTATCAGTATCTTTGGAATACCACCATTCGCACCAGAATACCAGTCGTTGTTAGTTTAGGGTATGCATACATTCGATGTCGGGCATACGATCGGGCACTTGAGGTCTATGATCGTCTGAATGCATGTGACACAGATTGGGTACATAAGATGCTCCTTGCTTACGGTCACCTAATGGCCACTCTTTGCTTGCTGCTTAAGTCAAAGGTGGAATCAAATGAGACTGAGAAAAATGAAATCCATGACACGTGCGTTACTTTGTTAATAAAAGCTATGAGTCTTTTGGTGGAAATTTCCGAGGCTGAGGCATCTGGCTGTGAGCCGAATCAAATCTGGAAAGTGTTGCAACAAATACCAAAATATCACGATGTTCGACCCCAGCTACTCCCCAAATTACATTTCCAGGGACAACACAATGCTTAATTTTATTTCTTTCATATGTAACACATTTCTATGCAAAAAACATTATTTAAATATTCATAGTCGCTTTGTGATTTTATTTTACCATTACTTTAAAAATTAGTTTTAGGTTGCCTAATTCTTGACGTGAATCTCTTGAATGTAATAATGATATCATTTGATTTGTTAAATCACATGGGTCTGATATCCCTCCTTGCAAACCCCAGCCCACCATATTGTAAGGTGGCCCTAAGGCATTCAATTGCATTGGTTTTTAAAAATACCATACTTATCAATAACGAAGGTAATATCGCTAAAAAAAAATAGCTACCTTCACTTGAAGTAATATTTGAAGCAAATTGCATTTGGAAAAAATAAAATAAAAAAGAGTGGGTACATCCCAGCTTGTTGGTAACAGGTACCTAAGATCACATCCCACCCTCTTCATCACAGGTACGTAAGATCACATCCAACCCTCTTCATCACAGGTACCTAAGATCACATACCAACCTCTTCTTAAAAAAGATGCCTAAGATCACATACCACCCTCTTCATCACAGATATCTAAGATCACATCCCACCCTCTTCATCATAGATATCTAAGATCACATCCCACCCACTTCATCACAGATATCTAAGATCACATCCCACCCACTTCATCACAGATACCTAAGATCACATCCCACCCACTTCATCACAGATACCTAAGATCACATCCCACCCTCTTCATCACAGGTACGTAAGATCACATCCAACCCTCTTCATCACAGGTACCTAAGATCACATACCAACCTCTTCTTAAAAAAGATGCCTAAGATCACATCCCACCCTCTTCATCACAGATATCTAAGATCACATCCCACCCACTTCATCACAGATACCTAAGATCACATCCCACCCACTTCATCACAGATACCTAAGATCAGATCCCACCCTCTTCATCACATATATCTAAGATCACATCCCATCCACTTCATCAGATACTTAAGGCTAGTTTCAGCATGGCAAATTCTCTCCATCTAAGTTAGGATCGAAAGATATACAAATTCATTAATTCCCCAAAATATCACTGTGCTCACCCAGCAGTTACAAAATCTACATAATTACTGTTAATGTCAATATTCTCACCAACTCAGTGAAGTTCTATGGCAAATGGAGGTTTATTATTGTGACTAAGAAAATAATTTAGATCACCTGTGTTTGAGATCATTTTTTGTTTAGATCCCATGTGTTTAGATCCCATGTGTTTAGATCCCATGGGCTAAGATCACTTGTGTTTCGATAACATTTGTTTAGATCACCCGCGTGTGAGAAATACTTAAGATTGCTTGTATTTAGATCACTTTGTTTTGATCCCTGTGTGTAGATCTCTTGTGTTTGATCACTTGTGTATAGATAACTTGTGTTTATGTGGGTTGTGTTAAATTGTTCAAGATTAAAACCTTATCATCGTAAGCATATTTATGTATGTCCTGAACACAAATATGTACTTTAAAAAAAAAATATGTTCTTTTTTTCAATAAAATAATCTGTTCTTTCTTCATATAGAAAAGTTTATTAAAGAATTAATGAAATAATTTTTATCAACGTATCTTAATATTGCCATAAATTGTTTAAAATTACGTTTAGCTTATTTCACAGTTTAAACATTGTTTTTATAATGAATTCTGTGTGTTGTTTGAAATACTAGGTTAACTAGGCCGGATAAACAAAATTAGTTTCACTGCGGGGGCCAAATTTTTGGCCGCTCCCTCTTTCACGATACAAACTGGGCAGTTGTCCGAAAATGTTTCACCTCCGTATCAATCAAAAGTGAGAAATGTTTGAACAGCCTCCTCCTCCTCCTCCTCCTCCTCCTCCTCCTCCTCCTCCTC